GGACACGGTGACCCCGAGTGCCGGGACCAGCCGTCTGCACATCCCGATCCATGTGGAGCTGCCAGAATTCCCAGCCTTTGGCTCCTGGGGTGATGGATGGGCTGTTTCCGTCTGTGTCACCACGAGGCCCCGGAACAGGGAGAGGGAAAAACAGGGAATTCCAGGAGCTCTGGGATGGCTGACGGCTGCCACCCCTTGGACACTTCACACTCCTGGCGCTGGCTGGGCCCTCCGGAGTTTTTCCATCGGGATTGGAGCTTTTGGGAGGCTTTTCCCCAGTGCCTTTCCCTGAACCTGCCTGGATTTTGTGCTTTCCCAGTTCCCGGACGAGACCCTCCGGAGCGGGGAGCTGCTCAACATGATTGTGGCCGTCATCGACTCCTTCCAGGTGGGAAGCAGCTCCTTCCTGACGTGGCAGCTCATTCCCAACTCCTTTCCCATCCCTCTGCCCCATTCCTGGGAGATTTAACCCCAAAACATCCCATCCACGGGCTCCTCTTCCTTAGTGCTCCACTCCCCATCGAGGAGCTCCAGGTGTTCCTTGTGGTGTCCAAAGGCTGAATCCAAACTGCTGCTTCCAAGGGATCTCCTGGAGAGTGATTTCCTGGGCAATCAGTGCTAATTATCCCTAATTAACCCCTTGGTGGGGGGGACACCGAAGAGCCACCGCAGGAGAGCGATTCCAGCAACACATCCCGCTGGCTCTTCCCATCCTGCTCCCGCTGGGAGGCAGCTGCAGAAGCTCCTGGCAGGAATTTTCCCTGCCCCAAGCTGCCATGAGAACCCAAAAATATCCCTGGGGGCACCGGGGGCACCTCTGGAATGCCGAGCTCCAGACGAGCGGGATCTGCCGATAACCCCTCACCCCGCCCTATTTATACCCTGTTCCTGGCCACTCCTGCCTTTCCCAGCCGGAATGCTGTGCCAGCAAGTTTTCCAGGGGGTGGGAACCGGGGCAGGAAAGGTTTGAGCCAGGATGTCCCAACCTTCCCCGCCAGCTCAGCCCCCAAATCCAGAGGTTTGGTTGTTCCCAGAGCGTTTCCTCTCCCCTCCCTGCTCCCATTCCTTCCTTTGGTTCTTCCTGGTATTCTCTAGGTGTTTCCCGGTTTCCAGGGTCTGCCAGGGGGGAGTCAGCCTGTTCGGGGGATCCAGGGGGCTGGATCCAGAGAGGGAGATCCAGTGGGTCCTCTGGGGTCCGGAGGGGCAGGGAGGAAGGTGGATGAGGAGCAGACATCCAGAGGATCCAGAGGATGAAGAGCAGAGATCCAGGGAATGAGGAGCAGAAATCCAGAGGATGAGGATGAGGAGCAGGGAGCAAGGTGGATGAGGAGCAGGGATCCAGAGAATCCAGAGGATGAGGAGCAGGGAGGAAGATGCATGAGGAGCAGGGATCCAGAGGATGAGAAGCAGCTCCTTCCCTACATGGCAGCTCATTCCCAACTTGGCAGCTCCTTCCTAACCTCTCTGCCCTATTCCCAAGAGATTTGACCCCAAAATGGAGCCGAAGTGGGCTCTGTGCAGGGAACAGCCCCCACCCACCTCTCCCAGAGATCCCAGGAATGCTCTCGGGAGCCGTTGGCCCCTTTCCCGCCAGGATCTCCAGGCCTTCCCGCTGGATCCCACCTGGGAGCGCTCGGCAGATCCCAGATACCCCCTGACCTCCCTCTTGTGCCCCCTTGCAGCTGCAGGAGCTCGTGTGCCATGTGATGATGGGGAACCTCGTCATGTTCCGCAAGGATTCCGTGCTCAACATCCTCAGTGAGTGGCATTCCCAGGCTGGGAATGAGGGCAGAGCAATGCCCGGGAAGCCTCCAGTTTGTGGAGACCCCCCAAATCCTTGGGAAGGGAGAAGGCTCCGGCCTTGGCCATGGTGTTGCCCTTTCCAGGGAGGACCTTTCCCACAGGGAGATCCCTGTGGGGCTGCTCCAAGAAGCTCCTTGGGCTGCCCAGGGTATCCCGAGGGCTGGATTTGCTCCAGGGATTAAAGGATCATGGCCCCAAACCGGATTGTGGGATTTATCCCTGTGATCTGAGCCCATAATGGTTTTACTGGGTGAGATTCCCGGGAGCTGCAGCATTCCATGGTGCCAGGCAGGGTGATCCCAGGCTCCTGGGAATTGAAAAATAAGCCAAGGAAGAGGAAAATCTCAGAATCTGCCCCAGTTCCACAGGGTCCTCACAGAGCTGGGATGGGGAGCTTGGTATTCCCGGAGCTCTGTGTTCCCAGAGCTCCATGTTCCCAGAATGAATCCTGCTGTTCCCGATCCAGCTTTGGGGTCACAAAGCCGGAAGCAGTGGGATAAGCCCCTAATGAGCCTCATTAATCCCAGAGCGTCTTCCCAGGACAGGGCTCCAGCCCCATTCCCAGTGCTCCAGAGGAGGTTGGGGGGGACCCTGGGCAGGTTTGGAGGTCCCCAGAGCTCGGAAAGGGGCTGTGACAGGTCCTTCTTGTCCCCCTTGTGCCTGTTGTCCCCCTTGTCTTTATTGTCCTTGTTATCCCTGTTATTCCCCTTATCCTTGTTATCCCCCTTGTCCCTCTTGTCCTGTTATCTCTCTTGTCCCTGTTGTCCTTGTTGTCTCCATTATCCCCATTCTCCGTTTTCTCCACTGTTGTCCTCATTATCCCTGTTGTCCCCATTAACTCCACTATTCCTCTTGTCCTCCTTGTCCATGTTGTCCCCATTATCCTTGTTATCCCTGTTACCCTGTTATCCCTGTTGTCCCTGTTCTCCCTATTGCCCGTCATCCCTCTTGTCCCATTGTCCCACCCATTGTCCCTCTTGTGGTTGTTATCCCCATTCTCCCCATTGTCCCTCTTGTCCTCACTGTTCCTTTTGTCCCCGTTGTCCCCCTCCCCACCCCAGTCCAGAGCCTGGACTGGGAGACCTTTGAGCAGTACTGCACGTGGCAGCTGTTCCTGGCCCACAACATCCCGCTGGAGACCATCATCCCAATCCTGCAGCACCTCAAATACAAGGGTGAGTGTCCCCAGCCCAGGGGGGCCATGCCGGGCGGGACCCCTGGGCTGAGCCGGACCCTCCTCCTTCCCAGAGCATCCCGAGGCCTTGTCCTGCCTCCTGCTGCAGCTCCGCAGGGAGAAGTGAGTGCTGGGGGGCCTGGGGGGCACCAAGGGGGTCCAGGGACCACTGGGACTGTCCCCATGGGAGCTGGGATGCACTGGGACAACGAGAGCCCCTGGCAGTACCTGGAATTCTGGATGGAGGGGACACCAAAGGGGCTCTGGGGGGGGATCCCAGGTGGGTCCTGGGAGGCACTGAGGGGGCACTGGGGTCACTGAGGGGGCTCTGGGGGAACCACCAGGACTGTCCCCATTGCTCCACGGAAGCTGGGATTCACTGGGATACTGGGAGCCCCTGGCTGTGCCTGGAGTCCTGGTTTGGGGGGGGGCACTGAGGGGGTTTTGTGGGGTCACCAAGAAGGGGTCTGGGGAGGCACTGAGGGTGTCCAGGGACCACCAGGACTGTCCTCATTGCCCCACAGGAGTGGGTTTCACTGGGAGCCCCTGGAATCCTGGGTGGGGGAGCACCAAGCTGGATGCTGGGGGTCTCCAGGGCGAGTCTGGGGGTGTCACCCCCCCCCCATTCCCGGTTTTCCCAGGCCCAGTGAGGAGATGGTGAAGATGGTGCTGAGCCGGCCATGCCACCCCGACGACCAGTTCACCACCAGCATCCTGCGGCACTGGGGGCTGCGCCACGACGACCTGCTGGGCGAGCACATCAAGGCCCTGCTCATCAAGAACAACAGCCTGCCCAGGAAGAGGCAGAGGTGGGATGGGGAGAGCCATTCCTGGGAGATTCCCAAACTTGGGAATGTGGGAGGGTGGTTCCCACCTGCCCCGGAAGGTGGCTGTGCCCCCATCCCACAGAATTCCCCCCTAAGGAATGGGGTTGGATTTCCTCCCCTTCCCAGGCTGTGCCCCCTTCCCACAGAATTCCCAATTCCCACCCCTGGTTTTGGGGGTTCCTGCCCTATTTTGGGAAGTCTCACCCTAGATTTGGGGAATCCCATCCCAAATTCCTGTGTTCCTGTGTCCCCCCAGCCTGCGCAGCTCCAGCAGCAAACTGGCCCAGCTGACCCTGGAGCAGATCCTGGAGCACCTGGATAACCTTCGGCTCAACCTCACCAACACCAAACACAACTGTGGGTGCCCCCAGGGACACTGGGATACTGTGGGAATATCTGGAATCTGGGAGGCGGGGGGGTCCTCTGCCTGCAGGGACCATCCCAGTCACCCCATGGGACACTGGGAGTCCCTGCCCTGTATCCAGAGCCCTGGCTGGGTGGGATTCCCGTGTCCTGGCGCTCCCTGACCCCTATTCCCGGTGCTCCCCCAGTTTTCAGCCAGACCCCGATCCTGCAGGCGCTGCAGCACGTCCAGGCCAGCTGTGACGAGGCCCACAAGATGAAGTGAGTCCTCCCCTCCCCTCCTTGCCCACCTCTCAAAGCCCCCCCTGACACCCCCTTTTCCCCACTCCAGGTTCTCCGACCTGTTCTCCCTGGCCGAGGAATACGAGGATTCCTCCAGCAAACCCCCCAAGAGCCGCCGCAAAGCCACGGCGCTGGCGAGCCCCCGCAGCCGCAAGAACGCGGCGCAGCCCCCCAACAACGAGGAGGAGTCAGGCTCCAGCAGTGCCTCGGTGAGATCCCCCCCCAGCCCCCCAGGGTGAGATTTGGGGCCCCCAAATGACCCCCAACCCCCCCCGTGCAGGAGGAAGAGGACACCAAACCCAAACCTGCCAAGAGGAAAAGGAAAGGCTCATCCGCTGTGGGCTCCGACAGTGACTGAGGGCTGGGACCCCCCGGTGACGGCTGGAACCCCCCCCCACCTCGGTGGGACCCCCACCCGGTGAGGGCAGGGACACCCCCTCGATGGGACCCCCAAACCGGTGCCAGCACATCCCATGGGAACAGGGCCAGGGCCCCCCGGCTCCCCCCACCCTCCCTCTTCACAACGTGGGGAGGGGTCTCAGTGTGTGTCCCTACCCAGCGTGGATGGGGATCCCTCTCCGAGGGGACACGGGAAATGGGGGGAACACACCCCCCCAAGTTTTCGTATAGAAATGTAAATAAAGGGTGGAACTGAGTCGCTGCTCCAGGATGATTTGGGGAGGGGGACAAGGGTCCTGCCCGTGGGGAGGGGGGACATCGACCCCTCCGACCCCCCCCAGCCCCCTGCCCATCCCCCCGGGGAGCTGCTGGGGG